ATAGCATTTAAATTTGCGTTTTAAACCTAATAATTTAAAAATTTCTTTTTCGCGATTTCAGTACAATTTCTCAAAATTTAGTTTACTGTGTTGGGAAAAACGGTATTAAAAAATCCATTAAATTGAATGAGAGTCTCCTAATTTTTACACAGTATTTTGAAATGTGGTATTTTCTATCGCAAATATATCATCTTTAATTTAAATTTTCATTTTAACCATTCTTTTGTTCTTCTTGTTTATTGCTTCATCACTGTACCTTCGAAATTCATAGTCCAAATAACTTTAATTTCAGTAGTCACATATTTAAAAACATGCAAACTTGCATTTCGAATCGTTTTTATATTTTTGAAATAATGGATATATATATATATATATTTATACATATTTCTATTAAAAGTCATTTTATTAATAATATTACACAGTATTAATAATGCTACAATTTATCCATAAAAAATGTAATTCCCAATTTTTCCTTTCATTTTATTTTTCATAAAAATAATAGTTATATTATGGTACAAATAAAGATTTATCAACTTCATCTATAAAACAAAATTTAATCAGCATTTAATTTTTTTTTTTTTTAATCTGCAGCTGTTACGTTACTTCGTAGCATCATAAGCAAAAGCTTAACTTTGCACTTCAGAATTCGCATAATAATATATAATATAATACATACGCATAACAATATAATACATACGATTTATAAAAATATATATTTTATGCAATCAGGCATATTTAAAAAGCATTATATTGTAGAAAATCATATTGAAATGCTAAAATGTAAAGTACAGATGTAAAAAGATGTTAAAATATAAAATGTTTTCATAAAAAAATGCAGTAAATATAGTATAACAGAAAACATAAAGAGCTAATGACTATACGATTTTATGAGAAAGAATATGAAAAATCTATATGCTTTTATCAGAAGCATAGAACTACAGTTTAATCAGTTTAATTCTTTCAGACTTAGGTAATAAATACTATCAGGAAATTTAAAAAACAAAAGAATAATAATTTTGAGCTGCAGAGTCGCATTAGTTTTTTTTTTTTTTTTTTTTTTTTTTAAAAGCAGGAGACATGTAAAATGAGCATTGCCCGCTGCGGTACTCGAACTTGGACCTCTCAGATACGTGCATAGTATGCTACTGTTGTACCACGAAGACATGATGCAAGGAAGGTGTGGTGTGGTGTATTTAATTATGGCAAAGCACACTAGGGCTATCTGCTTAAGAGGAGGGATGCCTTTCGTGGAGGACTTTCTAAGGGAAACTGGCTCGTATACACGTTACACATGGGGAAAACCACGAAAACACCCATGCAGCCAGCCCGTTCGCGGGATTCGAACCTCGGACCGAACTACCAGTGTTCAGCGGCTTTACCGCTCGGCCGCTGGTGGGCCTGATGCAAGGAAGGAGGAATTACCTTACATACTCTTCCTGGTAAAGGGAGACTGAGGAATAGGGGATCTAATCGCCAAATCCTGGTGGAATCCAAATCCATGAAAATGAGCCATGCCGTCATCTGGAATCGAACTTAAATCTCTCGAATACGTGCCGAGTGGTACCGTTGGCAACACGGAGGTATGAAGAAAGGCGGGAGAAATTACTTTGTAAAACTAATTGTCATTAATTTCAAAAATCTCTTCTTAACTAAAAGTTAAAATAAGGAAAGGTTAAAAAGATTACTAAAGATTATAATATAATTCGATAAAGGAAATTTACAGAAAGTGCCTTGCATCCACCCGCTCGAGGTTTTACAGATGTATTTTTTACGCAGATATGAGTATATATCATACTGGTGTGCAACATATAAACTGTGATTCTGAGAAACAGCAGTATAGGAAGAGACTTAGCTATAGAAATTTCACTTTGTAGAGAGACTGATGACATTTGAAACCTGTATATCAGGAATTAAAATAAAGCAGAACAAAGTAATCAGATAATATGCAAAGTATACGTACAAAGTATAAACTAAAACGTGTACCGAACATAATTTTTGCACAAATAAACTGTTTTAAATAAAAATTAGACTAAAAAATTATATTTACTCCTAAAATCTACAGATTATGCAAGACATATGAGCCAAGATGTGTCCTATGAAACTTAATAAAAAAGTACAGAATTTATTAAAATATGTTTTCATTAGCAGTGGGATCAAATTCATCAAAGAGTGAAAATTATAGATTTATCGAGTACATACACACAAACGCATTTTACTACTCGTAATGAATGAAAACGAAATCATATTTTAGTTATTAAATGTTCGAGCTAACAGTACGAACAAATTCAAAGCAATCCTCTTGAATGATGTTTCAAATTGTAACATGTTAATGTTTTGCTCATATCCGTGCTCTCTTTTGTGCTCGAAGCAAACCGTAAACGTTTAAATTCTTTTCCATTCCCGGTCTGGCTATATTCTTCCGAAAAAAAAAGAGCGATCACTCTTTTATGGACCATCTTTGTCAACAGAAAGGGCCACTAGTACGGTTATTTTGATGGCATTTCAGGAATCATGAAAGAAGTGAAAAATAGCTCTGGTTGGAAGTTTTTTATGGCTGGTTTCCTATGGACAGTAGGAATAACCATCTCTCAGATGCAAAGAAATAGTTTCATAGATCAGTGGTTCTTGTGCATGTTTCCTTTTTGTAAACCTCAAGATTTATTGCAAGTATATCCATCATATCTAAAAAATATTTGCAATTGCTATCATGTCAAATTTTCATAGTGCAATTGCTAACCCTTACACTAATAATGACACAAAGAAGCAACGAAATGTTAAAGTGAACAAATGAGAATGTTACAAGTATAGTTTTATTTCAAAATTTCTCACCCTGGCTACGAAACTGTTAGAGATAACAACGTATGCTTCACTTCATAATTACGTAATTTTGAAATTAACGTAGAAACAGGTGCCTAATAAAACTAGATTAATCAACTTTCAATCGAGGTCTACTAGGCACATGTTTCGAGTATGATATTTCGCCATTTTGCCTCATTGTTACTTGCACAACTATTAGACCAAACTGGAACTCTTTACATCTGGAGCTGCAAATACTCAGCTTTATTGCACGAAAGTAATAAGGAATACATAAATTATCAATTCTAGGCAAATGCCAGTGGCTTATGAAAATACTGGGCATCGATAACAGTGCAAGAAAGGGACTACTAATTAGTACGGTAGAACGGTGCACCTTCAAAATGCAGGAAACATGAAATCATATCACTACTGGTGTTTCTTCAATTAGAGCTTAAATGTTCCTCGTTCAAATAACAGTGCCCTGGAGCACAACAGTGACTAGATCTATGTAGTCTTATGTGAAACGAATCATGTTATTAAATATTTTGACCTGCTATACGTGTGAGTAGAGGAAAACAGCCTAAAAGTATGGATCAGTCAAATCTGTAAGATGTTGTGTTTTGAACCTTTGGCGGCTGTTATTGTCTGGGGCTTGATTTTTGGATGTTATCATTGCTCTGGAATTTTCTGTAAGACGTGTTGTACGCCAGTTTATTTAAGTCAATTTCCTCCCTTTTAGAACTCACGTTTCAAGGTTAGTCCTTACAGGATGATAAACCATTTTTTGCGGCTGATGCAGAAATTGCAACCGCTGCAATTTGCATATTTTCAAGTAATTCACATTTCTTACCGAAATCTGGATTTAAAGATCTTTGGACATTTATAAAATACTATGCTAGTGCTTTTGGATGAAATTCCGGTCAGTTGAATTTTAGCGACATTAGGTTATTTTTGATGCTGGAAAGTTGAAAAATGAGCATCACCCTCGCCGACAATCGAATCACGGACCTCTGTAATTCGCGCCCAGCGTGCGGACCACTACACTAAGAAGGCGGAAGAAATACCTTATATACTCCCCCTTTTAAAGGGCGACTGGGGCTTTTAGGGGACTCAACCATCAAATCCTGGGTGTGGAGAATCATCATTCACCACCCTTTTAGTTCGGGCACCACTGTTGAGTCCTTATGTTTTTTTGGGAAGCTAGAGTGATGAAAAATGAGCAACGCCGACGCCTGGAATCGAACCATGGAGTCTGAATTACGCGTCTAGCGTGCAGACCACTACACAACGAAGGCATGCTAAGAAGGCGGGATAAATCTATAATAATAAAAGCAAGTGTAAGTCTGTCTGTCTGTCTGACCGAGCTCTCCAGCCAAATCTATGGCACGCAGGGACCTGGAATTTTTTATACGGAAGCACAAAGGGGCTGGCCACCAGACCTCGAAGCCCGATTTTCGATTTTTGAATTAGAAAAATTTAAAAAAAATTATTTATAATTAATTAATCACGGTTTTTTTGACTCACTGATATTATTATTTGTTTTCAAATAACGTTCGATTGTAACAATTGATTTCTTTATTCTAGCGTTAGTTTGCTGTTTTGACGATACATTAAATCGATTAATTACAATTCATTTCTTTTTTGTAGCTTTAGTTTGCTGTTTTCATGACACATTAATTTCTTTTTTTTTTCAGAATTGCACTTTATAAACTTTTTGTTTCTTAATTAATATTATCATGGTTTTTGACTCACTGATCGTGTTGCTATTATTTATTTTCAAATAACGTTCGATTATAACAATTGATTTCTTTATTGTAGCGTTTTCTTCAGTTTTTGTAATCATTCTTCTGTTGGTTGTTTAACTTTTGCTTTTCAGATTTTAGAAGAAATATGCCGCAGCCACCTCGAAAAAAGAAATGTTTGGAAAATAAAAATCGACAAGAGAGCGATACCCTCGCCAGTTCTTGAAAGACACGCAGACGGGACAAGACGGATATCCACTGTATCGTCGTAGAAGCCCTGCAGATGGAGGTTTTACAGCAAGCATCAATCTACGAGGATCAGAAGTTTCGGTGGACAATGCCTGGATTGTTCTTTACTGTCCACTACTATCCAAAATTTTTAACGCACATATCAACGTTGAGTACTGCAATTCTGTCAAGTCCATAAAGTATGTATGCAAGTATGTCAATAAAGGATCCGACATGGCTGTATTTGATGTCACCAGTGGAACCAATGAACTGAATGAAATTCATCAATATGAGATGGGAAGATACATTAGCAGCAATGAAGCAGTGTGGAGAATACTCAACTTTCCAATCCACGAACGTCATCCCACAGTCGTTCATCTAAGCGTCCACCTTGAAAATGGCCAGAGAGTGTACTTCACTGAAGAAAATGCTGCTGCTGAACGGGTCCAGGCACCCCAGGAAACAACGCTCACATCTTTCTTCAAGCTGTGCACCCAAGATAACTTTGCTCGCAATTTACTTTACAACCAAATTCCAAAGTACTACACATGGAACAGCAGGAACAAGAGTTTGGAATCGCCGTAAACAAGGACAAATTGTTCCAGAAGAAACAGGAATCCGGTCTCTACTGATGCTCTTGGCCGTGTCTACACCGTCCATCCCAACAACTCCGAATGCTTCCACCTTCGCCTATTACTACATGAAGTTAGAGGCCCAACATCATTCACGGATTTGAGAACCGTTCAAGGAAGAGTCTGCAACACTTTCAAAGAGGCCTGCCAACTTCAAGGACTTCTGGAGAATGACGAACACTGGAACACGGCGTTAGAAGAAGCAGCTGCATCTCGATCACCCAAGATGATGCGTAATCTGTTTGCTGTAATGCTTCAAACGTGCTCCATGTCGGGCCCTGAACAGTTATGGATGAACCACAGGGAGAACCTGTCTGAAGACATACTGCATCAAGCAAGGATCCAGCAGCAGAATATGGACCTGGACTACAATGACGACATCTTTAACAGAGCCCTAATCTACATTGAGAACAAGATAATATCTCTAGGAGGATTGAACCTGAAAAGATTTGGACTTCCCCAACCTAACAGAAACAGCGATTCTGCCATTTCCAGTGAAGTAATTAGAGAACGAAGTTATAACATGGATGTGCTCGCAGCTTATATACAGGAGAATGAGCCTAAATTGGTCCAAGATCAAAAAGAAGCCTTTGACAAGATTACTAGAGCAGTTTTTGATAGGCAAAGGGGTATATTCTTTTTGGATGCTCCAGGCGGAACCGGGAAGACGTTTCTTATCAACCTTATTTTGGCAAAGGTGCGGCACAGAAATGAGATTGCCCTGGCTGTCGCTTCATCCGGCATTGCTGCTACACTCTTGACAGGTGGTAGGACTGCTCACTCGGCGTTCAAGTTACCCTTAAATCTGACAAGCACAGAGACTCCAACGTGTAACATCCCAAGGAATTCAGGAAAGGCAAAGGTTCTACAGGATTGCAAGCTCATCGTTTGGGACGAGTGTACCATGTCCCACAAAGCCGCATTCGAAGCATTAGATGTCACCATGAAAGACCTCAGACGGAACAATGACAGAATGGGAGGCGTCGTAATGGTTTTGGCAGGCGATTTTCGACTGACGCTACCAGTTATTCCGCGTGGAACGAGGGCATTTGAAATGCAGGCCTGCATAAAATCTTCTTACATCTGGAATGGCATTCAAACACTTGGATTATCGACTAACATGCGAGTTCATCTCAACGGTGATCCCTCTGCCCAGCAGTTTGCAGATAATCTACTGAAACTAGGAAATGGAGCCCTTACTTCAGAAAATGAAGATGGATATGTAGCGATGCAAGGCATTGGAAGGATTGTGACTACTGAAGAAGAACTGAAAGAGGCTGTGTTTCCGAATGTGATTCACCACTTCACTGATCACGCATGGCTGTGCGAAAGAGCAATTCTTGCCCCAACAAACGAAGCCGTCAGTGTTATCAACAAGGAACGTTTACAGAACTTACCCGGAACTCTTCATATTTACAAATCTATAGACACGACATGCAATATTGACGAGGCTGTCAACTATACGACAGAGTTTCTCAACAAATTAGAGCCACCTGGAGTACCCTCCCACATATTGGACTTGAAGGTTGGAGCACCGATAATTCTCCTCAGGAATCTGGATCCGCCTGCACTTTGCAATGGAACAAGACTTTCTATCAAGAAACTGATGCCAAATATTATAGAAGCCACCATCATGACCGGACATGCTGCAGGCGAAGATGTGTTTATTTCAAGAATTCCTATAATCCCTTCCGATCTCCAGTTTCAGTTTAAGCGTCTACAATTCCCTGTTCGTTTGAGTTTCGCGATGAGCATTAATAAGGCACAAGGACAATCTCTCAAAGTTGTAGGGCTCGACCTCCGTAAGCCGTGTTTCTCCCATGGTCAACTGTACGTGGGTTGTTCAAGAGTTGGTAATGCCGATAATCTACACATCTTAGCTCCGAATGGAAGAACATTAAATATAGTTTATCCCGAGGCTCTCTAACGAAAAGGACAATCTAACGAAAAATTATTGCCACTCTCCACTCTCCCAAACTAACTCTGACTATCATGCTTTAAATAGTGATGTTATTGTTTAGTGCTCTCTTGAGAGCATGAGCAATAATCCGAATGGTGCTGCCGTACCAACAGACATTAATCGGTCAGGGGCCCTTGCGACCCCAGCCCGAGCTCCACAAACATACACAAACACTCTCCTCTTCTAATTCATTGTCATCTAAATTTAACTTACACTTAAATTAAAAATTTAATTGGTTCTTAACTCCAAATTTCCTGTAAGCAGGATGTTTTATTTCATCCATGTTTTCGTTACTTTTTTTTTTTTTTTCTGTACTGTACTCTCTATCTTTCCCTTTCAACTCTTTCCTATCTTTGATTTTGAATTTTTTATGTTTACTTTTCTTTATACTTCAGACCAATGATTATAACCACATGACTACGGTTTCCTAGCATGTGCTAATATGAGGTCTGTTCTCATTTAAACTAATTTTTTAACAGATGGCTCATGGTTAGGATATATTGTTCCTTTTTATCGACGGGGAATGTTGTGTGTGGGGGGGGGGAAGAGAGAGAGACAGTCTACATGTCCTACACTACTATTCCTGCGCTATTCACTTATCTGCATTTTCTAAATGCACGGGCAACGCCGGGCGGGTACAGCTAGTTTTAAATAAAACTCAATGCGAATAAATAAAAATTTTAAAATATCTAGAAGCCTATGAGCCTGTGCTTAATGCACGTCAATATCTATAAACATATTACAAAATTTTAAACTACCTTTATATAATTCTGAAAATAAAATGAATAGAAAGATAATAACCAAAGTCATGATTCACAACCATCGAATGATATATGTACATGTATATATGTAAGAAAAATAAGGAATATGCAAAAGATTAAATTAGCAGCGTAAAATTAATTTTCCTTCTCTATTCTAAAAACAGTTTCTTTCTGCACTGCATCATTTCGAGATTAATTCATGTCATATGACTCTTACATAATTTGATGTTGTAAAAGAAACTAAAACTCAAACAGCCAATTGTAATTTTAGAGCAGTATTAACTATCAAATACGAGTAAAAATGCATCGAAGACCAAAATTAACTCGGTCTTAATTAAGATTTCACCCTTAACATAACGCATTTGCTTTTTACGCTTTGTATTTGCTGGATTGCAGTCATTGTTTCTTACTACACATTTATCAAAAATGTTAATTTTTGGAATAGGCATAAATAATGTGCCAACTTGTTTGTGGCTGCAACATATTTGCTGAAAGAAAAGTTGAATTAAATCTACCTCAACTGCCAAATTTCTTATTCATTGTGGATTAGAGTTTCAACATCTCTAAGCCATCAAAATTCTTGCTGTTCATTACGGATTCAGCTGCTTGTATTCGACTACAGAATCCATTACATATATATATAATATCATTTCATTTGATGGTTGCGAATCATTACTTTGACTGTATATACTCGTATATTATTCATTTCATTATAAATATATACATATAGTACTGTACCTCACTGCATAGATTTGTATTTCAGTTCTTTAATTGGGAAATTAAACAATTGGGTATTTAATCACATCAGCTTGTTTAACAATTTGATACCTAATGAGAAATGTATTGCCAAAGGATGGTACGTTCTAGCATCTGCTTAAATTTTAAGTTACCTACAATGCACTAAACCAAACTTAAAAAAAACAAAAACTAGAAGAAACCCAAATTTTCAGGAAGTAAGAAACATTACATTAAACAAGCAAGCAAAAAGAATACGGGACTTGCAAATTAGGAAACTTAACATAGAGTTCAAATTTAGCATAGTTGCTATCCCCTTAAAGCTCGCTTACCAATGATAGTAACACCCTGCAGCTTATTATGACAAATGCATACACATAGATGTTTTGCGTGGAAGAAAGGATGAATCCAAGAATATAATGTAGTGAAGAAAACTAATAATATACAAACACTGTGTCGACCCCTTATTACAATACTTTGAATGTTACCTGTATCTCTCAAAAATAAATGAAACATGAAGATAACATATAATAAACTTAATAGTACCCAAAATACAATAAATTATATTGTAACAAAATGAATTTTAAAAAATTTACAAGTTTCAACAAATACCAATTCTTAACGCACAGTTCGGGAATTAAGGAAATATCTCATAGCGTATAATGTTTTATTCCGTATCTCACTTTTAGTGCTATATAATCTTCCACAAATTTTATATAAATAAATCTATAACATAATGGGTATTTATAGTATATATAGTTCTTGATGTAAAAAAAGATTAACTTTTGTACTGTAAAAATTCCATCTATGCGAATAATTGTGAATATACTCATATACACATAATTATACTAAATAACTAATTTAATGAAACTAAATTCCTATAGAAAAATGGGGAAAATGTAGAATCGCCCACTGCTTGGAGTGTTTTTAAGAATTGCACATACTCGGTATCCATGTACACAATTGACATATTTTCACTTAAAAAAAAATCCCAGAATTGCACAAAAATGCCATTGTGCACTCCTTGACTTTATTCATGTACACATCGACCTATTTCACTTAAAAAGTCAAAAGAAAATTGACAAAAATCCAATTCTTTTTTACTTTTGTACAAAGTGCCAAACAAACGTAAAATAAATAAGTGGGACGATTCTGCACTTTACCCGATAAAATATATAAAAATACCATTTACCTATATAATATGTTAATAATTTATTATTACACAAACGGTTTTTCATATATCATCTCAAAGGAACATAAATTTAATTAAAGCGATGCATTATTTGGAATAAATTTGAGTCAGTGTTTTAGGTGCAAGATATTTAGATTTCTATTGTAGAAAGAATACTTTGAAATAATGTATAGAAATATTATTTTGAACCATAAAAATTCTCAATAGTAAAATTTAAAGTACTGAAGAAGGTAGCTATTGTTTTTGACAGTAGATTATATAATATAAAAATACCTCATGCTGAGCATTTTCTGAAATTACAATGCCAAATGAAATTGATATAGGGCAGTATTTAGCAATAACTTTTTGTAAACAAATGTAGCTATATTCGCTTAATTGTAATGACAGTAATTTTAACTGCATTTGTATAAGGCTGTACAGAAGATTTATTTATATGGGTTTTTCATACGCAGAGAACAACCGGATTTCCTGTGGAAGTGCTTCCGAAAAAAATGTTTAAATATTACTCTAACTATATTTGAAAGCAATGCTATAACAGCGCCCTTATAAGACTCATGATCCGAAAAGCTTTGGTTTTAAATGTCTCGTAAAAACGTTCAATTACTTCTGCAAAATTCATACCCACGTAAACATTACTACACCGAAGTCAATTGATTATACAGCAAAAGTTCCTAAAACAATCAACTCCACAATTCGAGATAATGCCAGTTTCCTGTAGCCTGACAAAACTATGAATGATTTTTTAAGTTCTGTTATTTAATTATTGTCCTGACAAATGTGCCATTATCAGAGGTGGTCATTTAAGAAAATAACCACTATATGAGGTTTCAACTTAATGTAATTTTTTTCAAATAAATAATTCACTTTTTATACTCCCAAGACTAGTACATTTAATATTACATAAATCTTATTCACAAATCTATTTCTATTTCAAAAGCAATTTATGAAAAACACATTTGAAATTTTCTTCATCAAACTAATAATAATGAAAATTAAAGTATGCATAAAATGATTATATGTGTTTTAAAAAATAGCACACAAAATATTTAATGTAAAAATGTGGTTCTAGTCTCATACTTGTAAAGAAAAATAGACCAAAAAGAAAAAACAATGTAAGCTACTATGATCATCTAAATTTTCACATAATTTTAGTAGTGGAAAAAAGATTTCTTAAGCTTGTATGTCTTGTCTACCCCATTCAGTAAGTAATAAACACATTAAATATTTCAATGTTTATTTCATTAATAAAACTTACCATTTTTGCTCGCGAAATATAATTAGTACATTTTTTAAAACATAAAAAAACATTCTTTTTGCTCGGCCACATCACATTAGTTGAAAAATTGAATCATGCAAGATCATTTTTAAGTAAGGTATGCTCAAATTTATTAGTACATAATATTCAAATGATAAAGCATCTACATGAACAAGCTTTAAAAAAGTATTTCTAAACTGTAATCAAAAAAAATAAATTTTCCAAAATACAGTTTCAGTAGGATGCAAAAACTATATTTCTGCATCTGCACACTGAACCAAATTATCAAGTCTGAAATTATCACTTTTCAGTCTTTAAGCACATTGTTTTTCAGGTTAAAAGTAAAGATGGAAAATCAATTTCACGCAACAGAAATCTCCATTTCACAACTAGTCAGTTATCAGCAACGTTCTCTCAAACATTAGACACGATTACACGTGCATGGCTTTAGTTGTATATTCATAGTCAGTGCTGGTATTTTATTATTTATTACTAATTTCTAAACAGTAAAACATAGTAAAATTTGTAATACAGTAAATCCTAGTAAATAATATATTGCATTACTACAACCACGAAAAAAAAAAAAAATAACACCACCATCGCACAACAATAACTAGAGCGGCGCCAAATTGCTTGTTTGGGAAACTTCTGAGAGTGGGGAAGGGAGGGCGAATTTTTTTTTTCACGTCAGCGTTAACAGGGAGAAAAGTTTTGCGATTCTGAATGAACTTGTTCGCGTTAAAGAGATGTTGGTTGATACCGGTGTTTATTTGTAATATCAGAAATGTAAGTGCTTATGTGTGTGTATTCAGAACCAACTCGTAGCAAAAACCACCTCCCTAAGACGACCGCCTCTGAAAGAGACCAGTATTTCTGAAAAACATAAGTAGTATACTTTGGTATTGAATATTCCCTCTGTAAGGCGAACCATTCACAAAGAAAATTCTGCAAGAGTGTCTGGTCGCCTTAGAGAGATTCATTCCGTGGATGCAATCTCCCTAAGACGACCACCTCTAAAAGATAA